ACTCTGTCTTTAAGCAAGGAAGCAGGAGACAGCCCATGCTTTGGATTCTCTCCGACCCATACAACTGAGAAAAAGCCTGTCCTCTCATCATTTATTGCTTGTCTCCCTTTTTTGTGTGGACTTCATACAGGGTTTCAGGACTAAGCTTGAATTTTGACTGATGTAGTTCCTGCCAAATAAATCTGGAAATGAAAGAACTGGGCCACATTTACATTAGTTCCTTTTCCAACAGAGCTGTCCTATAAAATATTTTCATCAGCATGCGATGGATATGACACTCCTAATATCATATTTATTATTAAAAAGTGTATGTTGCCCTTCAAACAGTTTTCCCAAGGTAGTTTACAGAAAATAGAAAGCGCTAAATAGAACAATGTACCCGCAATAAAAGCATAAAACCACAGGCAACTTGGTTAACAATGTAATTATGGTACATTGTCCCAGTTTAATATATTGAAAGGTTTGGGGCATCCATGGCCAGTAAATTTTATTAGCACCAATCCACCTGGGCAGAAAGTACAAGAAAAGGCTGGGTGCAGAAATGTTGACCCATTACATCATCCCTTCATTTATTGTCCTATAAAATAAATTCCAGGAAGCCTAAAATCAGCCATTACCTTTCTTCTACTGGCTGAGAACAAAAGGTTCTGCCTGTTAAAAAAAACTCAGCAGGTCAGTTCTGGTCAGTAGATGCATGAGAACCCAGATGGCCAGCACTGATGAAATGAAGCTCTCTCTAATTTAGGAGACAAGTCATTAATCAGTTAATCACATAGCTTAAAAGTAATGACTCTAGCCCTGGTTCTTATGAGGCAGTTATTCCACATAGACCATATTTAATATGTTTAATATGCAAAGAATCCTTCCTGTGTTTTCTGTCCTGAAATGTAATCATATATACACTATATATGACTACCAGCATGTCAATAGAAAATAGTATTTACTGAATTAATAGAGGTGTTATCAGATTAAACCAATATTCAAAGAAAATAGCTCGATAAGTGAGAAGAATATGCTTATTTTATGTGCTTATGTATAATATTTGGAGAATAATATCATTTCTGTTCTATTATAATTGGAGGACAGAGTGCAGCAGAGTGTATGTATGTATGTATGTATGTATGTATGTATGTATGTATGTATGT